GGATTAGACCTGATGCTCTTTACAGTAGAACCACAGAAAAATAAGTGACATTATGTGACCTTATAAAGTTAGATGGGAGTATATCAGAAGGAGAAGAAGCTCAGGTGAAACTGTTATACCTGTCTCTCTCTCATTCACACACCTGTTTCTCCTGACTTTCATTCCTCTTTTCTCAAGTGCATACCGAAACCTCTCCAGGCTCTCTTCCACCTGCTCCCTAATTTCACTACAGATCACAATATTGTCTGCAGACATCCCAGTTCAGTGTCTTGTCCACAAACTCTTCAGCTCACCTTCATCTCTCTTCTGATGTGATATTAAAGGATCCACAATGATCTACCAATAATAATACAAGAAATAGAATAGTTGTCATTACAAAGTTGACTCCCTGGTCACTTTATTATGTACATAATATCTGTTATTAAATTAGTTGATACTAGATGTTTGAGGAGAATCATTAAACTTCTATGAGTTGATATGAAGGTAGCAGTAACTAAAAAAAAGAGTGATTACAAAGAAAGTATTCAGAAGACCATCTCTGAAGACCGTACCAGAGGCCAATCCTGTCAGCTAACAGCCGACAGACGACTGGAAAAATGTTGTCTGGTCTTATGACTCCTGATTTTTGCTGAGATATTTGAGTAGCAGATTCAAAATTTGGCATAAAAATGAAAGCATTGATTCATCCTGCGTTGTATTAATGGTGGTGGTCTAAAGGTGTGTGTATTTTTTTTTGGCATGCTTTGGGCCACTTAGTACTAATTGAGGACTGTTTAAACACTACAGCTTAGCTAAGTATTACTGCCACCACATCTATCCTTTTATGACCACGGTGTACCTGTCGTCAGGTGGCTGCTTCCAGCAGGATGATGCACCATGTCACAAACCTCATATTATCTCATTTCATCAATGGGCTCAAAGGTCTCAACAGTCAGATTTTAATCTCGCAGAGCACCTTTGTGGTAGAGTGGATGTTAAGCTGACAAATCTGAGGAAACTATGTGATGCTACCATGTAAATATGACCATAATATGTGAGGAATGATTTCAGCACCTTGTTAAATCTATGTCACAAAGAATTAAAGTAGGCAAAAAGAGGTCTAATCCCGTACTAGCATGATGCAAATAATTAACAGTTTGGTGAGTATACACAACATAATGAGTATCTGCTAAAACTTTTACAGCAATCCAGCTTATAATTGTCAAAAAACAATTACAATGAAAGTCGATAGTCCTGTCCTCAGGAAACATGGATTCAAAATGATTGATAATGCTTCCAATACACTAGTTCTGATATTAAATTTTTGATTAAAAGGGTTAGACTTACTGACCAAAATACTAATACTGCCATCGCTTAAAAAGACACCTGTGTGGATTTTACTTTTAGATACTTGTTAATTTTATCATTATCACTATCATTAACTAGTCCCATCAGATCAACAGTAAAATGCTCACAAATACTATTGGTCAAAAAAATGGGAATACGGGAAAAAAGGTTACACAAGTTACATAAGATGCTGTTCCAGTTTCTTAGATTACTTATTTAGCTTAGCTGATTTGAGATGTATGTATACACTTTATCCCACTCGTATTTCTTCATCTCCCTCCCTCTCAGCAAAGCCCTGTTCATATCGCCATGTTTACTGCATGTTGACATGGAAAATATTTTAGGGGGAAATAGGAATGATTCATATATACACACCGTCTCACTCCTTTCTGTGTTTGTCTTCAAACTTCACTTTTCCCCAAATCGTGTATATAAACCATGTTTAACAAGTGCAGATCAGTCACTGCTTTATTCTCTGGACTCTGCGACACAGGGATGCAGTACAGGGAAGGAGCTGCTGAAGATTTACACTTTTCTTAGGGACAACTGAAGGAATTTTCCTATGGACTATGGCTCTTGGACCAACCTGCTGAGACTATTTAGACACCTTAAAGTCTCCTGTTCTTTGTGTCATGAGGATCAGTGGCATTTCATTTGTCAACGGTTAATTTTAAAATGTGAAGAATTTTAAACATAAGAGTACTTCATGGACTTGGATCCTGGGATGTAAGACCTCATACAAAGCCAGCTTTTTGAACTGACCTTTGAAAAGCATTAAAAACTAAAAGAGTGCTGAGTGACTTTCAAAACTCGCGTAAACCGATTTCCCTCCTTTCATCACCTGTGGAGTGTGTGGAGGTGTTTACACATAACAGCAAGCTGGTAATACAGTGCTGTGGCCATGGGTATGATGACATTTCTCCAGGCTTGATGTTCTACCGTTTACTAAACAGCTTTGACAGGACATAACTGTTTTAGTAAATACAGAAGGCGCGTGTGGTGTGTCCTTGTGTGTGTTTTGGGTTGCTTTGGTACCACAGCAGTTAGCTTTCTGTTCAGGTAGCAGTTATTCAAGGTGAACTGGTGCATCTGCTCACTTTGGAGGAATAAACATGAGCTCATTCCTGCCAGACCTTATTCTCTATACAGTGAGGTGTGATTTTTCCCCCACCCCTCACACATTTATAATCAGGAGAGTTCAGACAGGAAAGATCTCTCATGCACATCAGCTCTGGTACAATCGTTCTCTGTCTCAGTTTATAATATAAACACTACACACGGGCCATGCGTTCTGTTAGTTTGACAGGTGTGTGGAAGACAGCCACGAGCCAGGCGGCAGGTGGAGATGAGGATTTATAGATTTTAATCGCATCACTCTATTGAGCAATATTTCCACTGCCTAAGGCAAAGAAGGTTCACAGCTCTGTATGATTAATGGATGCTCTACTGGGTATCCCTGAGACACAGAAAAGCTACTGTGCCTCACAATAGATGCAGATTAGTTGTCAATACAAGTGCTTATTGGCTTAATTTTTCACTTTCACTATCATTTTTATAAGGTAAAGACAGAGATTCAAGCACCTCTTAAAAGTTTTTATTTCAGTAGACACGCAGTTTTGGACTCAGCAACAGATAAAGACAGGTGAGAAGAACTGCCAGGAGGGAAATAAAGCATAATTGGATGTTATATCACGTAAGACGAATGCATGATCTGTCCACATAAAGACAATGTTCAGTCTAAATCAATAAACAGAGTAACAGGCAGGGGAAGTTCCAAGATACTGAAACATATTGTGTTATGAGTTTCATTAAAAGAAAATTGACTTTGGTTTCAGAGAAGTCTGTAAGTGAAATCCCTCAGGTTTTACCGTTTATTATTTGAAAGGCTCCACCTGGAATTCCAGATTACACGATTTCCAGCCTTGATGTGATAAACAGTTAAGAATTTGCATCGATTTTGTACTGTCTGCCTAAAATGACAGTTTCCTTTGGAGTCTCTGAAACAAAAGTCCTATAATGTTTCTGTTGGCAAAAGTACTCAGGCTTAATCGACTAGGCAAAAAGGACTTTTACCTGCCAGTACAAAGTCTGCACACGATATGGAGTTGGGGGTGGGGGTGGGGGGTGGGGGGGAATAAACTAATTGGCTGCATGAACCTTTCAATGTGCCAAAGGATTTAGAGATAGAAGTGTGACATGTTGGAACGCATATGCAGCAATACTGACTATACGTTCCTCCTCTTACCTTTATCTCTGACTTCCGTCTCTTTGTCTTTTTCTGAATCTTCATATACTTGGAAATCATATTGCCTCCGAGAAGACTAATTCCCTGAATGAGTTGAAGAGTTTAGGTTTGGCATAAGGGTGGCTATTTTTCAAACAGTTAAATCAGATATCCTAGCAAGTCTGACACAAGTAATAAAACAAGACTTTATGGCCCATCTGAACGCAACTTCTTTAAAATCAGTTATGCAAATTTTGACAGGTTGACCTCGTACACTTTGTCATTTGTGCCAAGATGTTAAATTCCACCTGATCTGTTTCTGAAAGTGTGTCTTTTCCATGTCTTTTCCATCTTCTTCTTCTTGTTCTTCTTGTTTTTGTGTTTAGCGTAAATGAGTGTCATGCTGCCTTTATTTCAGGGTAAATAAAGGCCCGAGGGTGACATTGATCAAAGAGTTTAGATCGTTTTAAATACCAAAAATCAACAAAAGAACAAATTAAAACAACCAAGACGATAGGCATTGCTTTTAATGTTTTTTTATTATTATTATTGTTAGATGGATTTTTCAAATTTTCACAAATCTAGTATACATGTATACTTTAATAAATTCCAAGTGCTTAAATACAAAATGTAAGCTATCTTGTTATATGGCTGTGCTGGTAAGAAATACTTTGTCAAGATATATAAATCCAATTTCTTGGATAGATCTGACTTTACAAAGTTACATTAAAGTTGCAAATTCAGTTTACACAAGTTTTGTAATAAGTACTATTTCTTTATTAGATGTTATATTTTTTTCTCCAAAATGTATACAACACTTAAATATTTACGCATTTTTGTTTTATTTATTGATGTACAAATAAAAAGCTTATTTATTCTTGGCACTTTGATTTAATTCGTTCTCGTTTATTGTTAGGATTGTTCTCATTTGGTATACAGTTTTGACAGTATTAAAATTCATCGGGTAATAACAAATGCAAACTGGATTGAGCTGCTGTGTTCCATTTAGTTGGTAATTCATGCATCAGCATCTTTACAGCTGTTTTACAGTTGGTCCCCTTTCCCCTAATGAAGCTGCTTGCATCCAGTCAGCAGTATGTGTGCACAGATGGTGTGATAGAGAATGACTTTAATGTTTAGAGTAGGGAAGAGGGACAGCATGGGAATGTGGATTTTCACCGTTTAGGAGAATCAGTTAACTATCCATCACACAAAGATCAGGTTACACCGACATGCAGGTTCCACAGTACTGGTCATCGCTTTTCAGACAGGACTATTTTTTTTTTGTCACGAAGTGCTTATCATTTTATTTTTGTCTTTTTTTTGGTAAGTGTTTGTGATTGCCTATGGGTAGTTTATTGACTGGGAAAGTGTAATTTATTTATCTTAAAATAAAAAAATGAAAATAAATAAATAATAAGGAAAATGCAGCTGTAACTCAAACCTTTTATTCATATCAAAATGCAACAAATATAGTACACACCATACATTGCAAATCCATTTTACACAATAAAAGTTGTAACGACAAACCAACAGCTCATATGTATAAAATTGCACAACACATAAACATATTTACAAACTGCAATTACCGTTAAGACTGTAGGTCAATGAGATGCTTTTGTTTTAGCACTATAAAAAAACATGGTATACATTAACATTTTTACTTGTTTTTTACTTTACAGCAATAACTACAGATGTTTTGTAGACAACAGAATAATTTACCTACTCTAAATATGCTGAGCATTGTAATGGCGATACCATCGGAGAATCATAGATAGCAGTGGAATAGCCTGATGTCAGCACTTCAGATCTAGGATCTGCTAATAATGACTCAGATCAGATAGAAACAAGCTTTAGTTAGAATAAAAGCTGACTGAAGATCTGATAGTGAGTCTGGCTGCGGTTTCAGGGAGTGATAACTATAGTCCGCTGCAGCTGACTAAGCTGTTCCTGTGGGAATTAAAGACTTTTTACGCAGCTTTCACACGCTTTGGTGATCTCAACTGTCTCAGTCAGCGCAAACACACTTTGTGTTTGTGTATTTTCTACAACGGACCCTCTCTTAGAAAAAAAAATAACCAGATGGATTTCCCATCAAGAGTCTCTTCAAACACCTTCTCCCCCATCAACGTCTTATTAAACCTCTGTGCCCTCACGATGATAGATGACACCTGTAGAACTCAGTGTAGGGTAAAAATGACTGTTGGAGCCATTGTACTGATTCAGAATGGGGCTAGTGTAACCTAACGAGGAGTGGCTGGGTGAAGAGGAGAGTGCGGGTGGAGCTGGAACTTGTGGTACCCACTCTGAACCACTGGAGTTGGCCGAATAGGTACTAAAGCTTCCTGGCTGTGTGGGTCTATGTGGCCCATCTAAAGGAACGTTCATCTGCAGCGGCCTGCTCAACCCACTACCTCCCACCTCATTTGTTCCCCCATTGGAGACTCCAGACATTTCAGATAAGAAGCTGCTCAGGCACGGCCCGGGAACTGACAGTGAAGGTGAAGGAATCCTGTCCGTTGCGGGCGACATGTTTAGGCTGGGGTTGCTGGCGTGTTTAGGACTGGCCCTCTCACTGTCACCTGATTCTGGAGGCCCTGAACTGCCATCTCCACTGGACAGAGAATCAGACTTTCTCTTTCTTTTGCGGCGGAAGTTTCCATTGTCGAACATCTTTTCACAGTTTGGGTCAAGTGTCCAGTAGTTGCCCTTACCTAAATTATCAAGGAAGAAAATAAGACTTTTAGAATGGAAGAGACGTAAATAGATTCCATTAAAGTAATTCAAAGCACAACCATAACTATGCAAAATGCAAAAATTACATACCTGGGTCATCCTCATCTCTTGGCACTTTTTTGAAGCAGTCATTAAGGGACAGGTTGTGTCTGATAGAGTTCTGCCAGCCCGCTTTGCTCTTGTTGTAGAAAGGGAAATTATCAGCGACGTACTGATAAATTTGACTCAGCGTCAGTCTCTTGTCTGGTGCTCCATGGATAGCCATAGCGATGAGAGCAGAGTAGGAGTAAGGGGGGCGTACCAGCTTCATCAAATCTTCTTGTGAAGGGAGGGAGAACCAGCTCAGTTCCCCTCCTGGACCGCCAGCACCAGGTGGACCCAGGTAAGGCCTCTGCATGCCATAGTGCTGAGGAACAAACGGAGGGCCGGGATTACCTGGCGGGCCGGTGGTAGCCAGGTACGGCGATGTGTTGATCCCAGAGCTGTTAAACCATAGGTAAGGGTTTGAGGAGGAGCTGGTGTAGTCACTTATCTCATAGGTGGTAGGAGTAGTGCGCTGAGGACTTGGCAGTGAAGGAGGAGGGTAGTAACAGTCGCCGTACATGCTGAGTTCAGGGGGCTCCTGGCCGAGGCTCGGAAACTGCGGGCCACATCGAGGAGGAGACTGACTCTGGGCCTCAAATGAAGACATTGTCAAGTTTCTTCTCACTTCTCTGTCTCTTCTTAATTCTTTGCCTTTGATGGGTTTTCTTCTCAAGACTTCTCAGACTCTTTCTCTCCACTCCAAAAGTCCTGCTCTTTCTCTTTACTCTTGTCTTTGTCCTTGCTTGTATGTCAAGATGTCACCTGGCACACTTTTATCTTTTCCTCTGGAAACGCCCCCCTCTATTTTGATTGGCTGTTTTTTCAGGTGAGCTCATTTTTTTTCCTGTTGTCAGCTAGTTGACTACTTGAGTGGAAAAATAATTTTCCACTCATGGTGTTTGTCCACCATTTGTCATATTTTTTGGATATTACAAGGATACTATTAAGTTTAACCTATGGCAGACAATTTTGTTAACACCCTGGTTTATGATTTCTTTTTAATCTTTACAAACATTTCATGTCAAACATATAAAAGGAGACTACTTGAGTAAACGATCTGATTCAAAAATCCTTAAGAAATAGCCTTAAGGAAACAGTATATTGTTCATGAACAAAACAATATATTACATCAATATATATATTGTTACACAACAAACAGGAAAAGTACTCACTTAATACTTGCCTCCAGCAGTAATGAGGAAAATGGACTGTAAGCAGATTCAGTTTATATAACTCTAGGGGGACGAGATTACCTCCTTGAAATAATATAGGCTTCCATTGCTGAATCCAAATGACCATTTATGATAATATAAAGAATACAGTCACCTACACTCTATTCGCATGATAGCAGGTTTTGTTACAATAGGTTTATTCAATTCATGTGTTAAAATAGTGCATTACTGTGTAGGATATTAAAACCTCATCACAGTTCAAAGTGAGCGTTTGTGACATGACAATGCGCATGCTTATTTTTTGCTTTCTTACATTAGCGCGAGACCCTTATTTTCCAAAGCAGCCGACAAACTTTCCTAAGGTAAGTTTATAAGTTTTGAACATTACCTTCAGACCCCGGCGAGAAAACTCAAGTTTACTAGCCTGCCTCGACAAATGTTACAACATCTTAGTTTTAGAAGTCTACTTTGCTAACTTTTTTTCTGCCCTAACATCACTTTGCTAACAGTAACAGGCTCGTTCCTAGCGTTAGCTAACGTTAGCTATTTTCATGCGGAGGTGTTTGTAAAGGGAGACGTGATAAAATAAATAATACGTGTGCAATCAGGATGGCCGATTCGTCCACTCGCTCCGAGCTTCCACGCATCAGCGACGACGACATGCTGGCGATGAACAAGGAATTGGAGAGGATGATTGAAGACGTTGAGAGTATGTCAGGTATGGGACGTTAACGGTATTGTGGCATATTTAGAGAGGTCAATATGAGCTCAGATAGCTTGGGCGTGAAGCTTAGGTAACTAAAATAAATGTCTGAAACATGCGATGTCACTCTCTTCTTATCTGTCTGCCCGCAGCGCACCTGACCTGGATGGCCTATGATATGGTGGCGTTGCGGACTAGTCCGGAGCTGGGAGTCTCTATGCAAAAGCTGAAGGAAGCTTATCTCAAATGTAGAGCTGCTGTTTGCGGAGACCCTGACCAGGAGTCACAGATTGACAAATCTGCTGAGACTGCTGTCACAACACTTTCTCAGATGTGATGCTTATAAGAGTTTTGAGTTCACAAGTAGGCACTAGAATTAACAAGTTTTAACTTTTAAATGTTAACATTGAAATCCCAGCGGATCTGTTTGTTTTTGGTAGCTGGAGGTGGGCATTCATGCCTTGTTTAGTTCTGACTACTTGCACTAAAACAGTATTTTGATGGTTAATTATTCATTTGAATGGACTGTAATGTTTGTTTTCTCACTATTAAACTGCCCTGGTCTGTGTAATTTTTTTAGAAAGATTTTTTAAGTAAATTAATTAAATAAATTAATAAAAATTGAAATAAAAATGTGTTCTGTCATTTTTTTCTTTGTTTTTTGGAGCCCTACCCTAAATGTAAACAGTAAAATATGTGTTTTAGTTTTACTGTTATGGATGACTTTTAGCTGAAATACAACATTGCCATTCATGATTGTCTGTCACATTTGATTTACCTTGTGTATGCTGATAGGTGACTGACTGTTTTTTGTGTGTATGAACTTCATTTTCAGATGGAGAACACAAAGAAGGTTGAAGAAGAAGCTACCTCTAACACCTGCATTGACCTGGTGAACATAATGAGAGAGCTAGATTCCCTTTCAAGCGCCTTGGATCGTCTGGCACGTATGTTTGACTCCCTTACTTGGTACTTCAAAAATGTCAGAAAACAATCATTTTTGCCACTAACGTGAAGTTGCTGATCAATTTGCAAATATGCAAAGCAGATGATGAAACTCCTCTCCCAGATGTGAAATGTGATAACTACAAGGGCATTATGGGCTGGCTCAGCCTTGCTTGTCGGTGTCAGTGGTGCAGATCTGCGTGATACTACATGATGTCTGTCAAACTGTGCTCTGCTGATTGGTAGATAGGAGTAACTGAAGGGTTTTACACGTGGTTGTCCATCAAGCTCTTTGATGTGAGGCATGCAGCTACCTTTTTTTTTTTTTTTGCCACGGGGGACAGCTTTGTGCAACAACTGTCAGATCAGTGTGACTTTCTTATCTGCTCACTTAAATATCTAAAAGCCTGGACCCAAATATATATATCTATATATATATATATATATATTATATATGTTTAATCTAAAATTATGTTTTGATATAGTACATTTTTGCAATGAATTAAGTTATCCCCAACAACAAATCATACGAGGTGTACTCAAGTTAATGTAAAAGTGTTTTAGGTATAATATTTTTGGACGCTTAAGTGGAAAACATTATTTCACTTCTAAATAAATGCAAAGGCTCGATTAATGTTCATTATATATTTCTTTAATTGTAAAATAGTCACACCAATAGTTGTTATCTTTTTACCAAGCTTATTGTTGATGGTCTTGTAGCCCATAACAGCCTTGTACAAATCTACAGTGTTGTCCCTGATGTCCTCTGACAGTTCTTTGGTCTCTATTTTGGTGGAAGAAATTAATTCTGTAGACAGGTGTGCTTAATATACATAATGAGTTGAGCTCAGGAGTATCTATAATTGTTTGACTGATTAAGTGTCACATGGGGACAACCTGAGTTCTGGCTGATTGTATGGGATCAAATACATATCTCACTCAGTTTTTGGTCTATATCTTTTGACTTATTTGAGCTGCCCTGCTAAGTCCTGATGTACTAAATAAAGGACAAATGTGTCCATCAGCACATCTCTCAGATTCAACTAATTTGGCTTGCATTACATTGCTATGTAAATCTAGGACACAAAAACATATGTTGTTGTCAGTCACACTGAATTAGTAGTGCTGTTTGAAATAGCAAGACAAACGAGAAAGCAACCTAATATGTCAGTACATGTTTTGTGTTTCGGTTTTAAATTCAGACTGTGTGGTTTTAAAGTGTAATAATATTTGATAGATCTGACACAGCTGTGAAACAAGATATTTGCTTTCTGCCGGCAGTGCGAACCAATCAGAGACAATGTGATCTGATCGTTTGTGTTGGCCACCCTGACAAGTTGGCGTCTCTAAAAATCCAAGAGGCAGTTAAGCAGCAGTCCTCAGAGGTGTGAATAAAGGAGGTAATGCTGTGCTCCTTTGTGAACAAACCATGACCCATGTAAGAAAAAAAAATCTCTCTTTGTGTTTACTAAAAATACAAGTGAGAGCAGCACAAAGATGAATTGCATAACAATGACCTTTGAGAGTGAAAATTGTGACATTTGCTTTACATGTTCTTAAAAAGATTTTTAATAGGCCACGCATGCATGCATGCACACAGATTAGCATATATGAGCACAGAGAAAGGTGCGAACACGCACATTAAAACTGTTGTCAGTGCTGGTCAATGTCCCGTAGGGTGCAGCAGACAACTCTGGGGGTGCTCTTCATGACTCTGGTCTGTGGCATCAATGAGCTGCAGCGGGGTGTGTGTGTGATGGTTAATCAGCTCCTTCACCCCAGGGAAACTCTGAAGCACAAACAGCACACACAAAAAATGACGGGGACCTAATGATGCAGTGCAGCACAACTTAGCATCACACATTCCCCGAGGCGTGCCGCAAGATGTGAATAGTTTACTTTAAGCGAGCATGTTGATTTTTTTTTTTGTAACATTACGCTGTCATTGCTTCCAGTTTACCTTGGTGTTTTTGAGGCCACTGCCGAGAGTGTAGCCATTGCCTTGGTGACGGATCTTAATGTTGTAAACCTTGTCTTGATACAGCAGCATCAGGGTGAAGGGGTGCTCGACTGAGCCGTTAGAGCTGTCCCTCACCACAAAGGCACCATCCTTAAAGATACATACATGTAAATACACAAACCCATACATTCACATTATGCATCCAGTAACATTTCAGATGTGTGTGTGTGTGTGTGTGTGTGTGTGTGTGTGTGTGTGTGTGTGTGTGTGTGTGTTTTTCTGTCTGCTTTAGAATGAGAAGGTGCAACATCTGACCTTGTTGACCTCCCGAAGAGCAGCCTCAGCTTGGTGTCTTGTCAACTTTCCTCCATACCAACTCGAATCCAAGCCCTGAGCGCACCATGATAGAACAGTCAGTGTAAGTGTAGCGCTATCACAGACAGTTCCAGTTAGACTAGTTAATAAAAGGCAGTGTATAAGATATAAGCATCTCTGTTGTTCTTTCTCTTTGTACAGCATTGTGATCTGCTGTTTCCTTTCTGAAAGTGCTCATGATCTATAAATAAAACCTTAATTGGACCATTGGGTTTTCTCACATTTGTATAAATAACTTAACGCACTTTTTTTTTTAAATACCTTTTTTAGTCTTGGTGTCGAATTGTATTCTTCTGTAGATTGTGTCACTCCTGAAGGTTCTGGAATTAATTTACTTGGCCTGAAAGAGGAGAGATTCAACACACACAATTATTAAATAGTTGCATTGAATTAAAGTGAACGTCTTTTTATGCTCATAAATTGTTCAGGCTGTTCTACCTATTGGACACATCAGTAGGCACAGGCACCTTTGGATGATGAGGTTTGCTGATAGTATCTTTTACAGCACTGCCCTCTTGTGGACATTGTTGATGGTGTGAAATAGAAATGATAAACATTGTAACAACAGTGTAACACTTTTGTAACCTGCTATAACTATTCCAGCATGTTGTAGGTTGCATACTTATTTTTGGAATGTCTTTTTGGGATGATCCAGGCTTCTTGCTCCGGTCTAAGTGCACACTTGCAGGAACTTATAAATAAAAATAAAAAAAGGAAATCTTTCAATGAAATGGGCGTACAACACTCATCATAACTGGTAAATTCAGCTTTTTGATTCAACACATTTTTGTTACCTGCTGGTTTTAACGGTCTTTGGAGGATGTGATCCCCCCTTGGGGTTGATGGCAGTGGAGGTTTGAAGGTTCTTTGAGAGAATGGTGGATCAGGAAGAGGTTCTGTGCACATGTTATCATACATTCAGGACACATTAATGTCAGTTCTGGTTTCAAAGCATACTAGGTAAAGGAGGAGCAGGAGAATTAGCTACTTCCAAAAAATAGAATAAATAAATAGTCAAACCTTAGAAGAAATTGTACAGTGTAGGTAGGCATAACATGCTGCATAAAATTCTCATCACAGAAACCTGTAGCAGAGCTACATTTTCAGTGCTACAGCCTCAAAAAAAGCTGCATAATAATGTTAGCAAACCGCAAATTTGAAGTCATTCCTCTTTTTACCAGTGAGTCACACTAGTCAAAGCAAATGTCACTGATTGGTGCCACAGTCTTGAGTCAGCCTGGGGGTAAAGTGTCTATTTTGTTTGGCTTGAAATTAGTCTTTGTTTTTGTCAGTCTTGTCTCAGACTAATCTCTGAGCAAAAATAGGGCTGCTCTACCCATACAGACAGGTCTAATATAGTCTAGTATCTCTGTGAAAGTGTCCCCAATTCATATAGGCACTGAGATGCTTACATATATAACTGCATTTCTTTATACAGTATTATTCTGAATTGCTCTCCTTTACCTCTTTGACAGTCTGGAGGTTTTGGCCCTCGGGGGGGTCTTGGAGGCTTCGCTAGGTCTCCAGCAGCAGGCTGCTTGTACTTTGCTTCACTTGTCTTGTCCTGTCCTGGTTGTTGCTCAACTACACTGCAGTTGTAATTCTCTGCTTCGTGTTCTGGACCCTCATAGATTGGATCATCGCTCTCATTGTCCTTACCGCAGCCCGGACATGTGATACAAGCAGAGCGCATGAGTGCAACTCATGACAAAAGCAACTTTTTAAAAAAATTTCACATGACGTATTAGGTGCGTAATTAAGCTGTTAGGTGCATACGTACAATTGCTTGTTAAAACAAATATCAACTTGGTAATCACGTTTACGGCAGTGCATTTAGGCATGCAAACATCTTGAAAGCCACCTGCTGAATGTGGCATGATTGTTATCGCCTTGTCTGAATATTTCAGAAACTGATGAACCCCTGGGTTTTTCCCTCACATAGATAAAGGATTTACAGAAAATGGTCAGAAAAAGAGAAAATATGCAGTAAGTGGAATGTCCGAGTTCAAAATGGTAACTAACTCAGCAGTAATTCGATACAACCAAGTTATGCAAAAGAGCATCCCTGAACACACAACACATTGAAGCAGATGGGCTGCAGGAGAAGAAGACGACTCCTGTCAACTAAGAACAGGAAACTGAGGCAACAGTTCACACATGGTCATCAAAGTCAGGCAGTAGAAGATTTGAAAAACATCTAGTCGAGTTTGGCTGCTGCACCACGTCACAAAGCTCAGATCCTCTCAAACTCAACGATTAGAATCAGAACCAACAACTGCAAAATGCCATCGTGTAAACATGGACTAAAATCTCTGAGGAATGTTTCCAGCACTTTGATGCACTCTGTGCCACAAATATTAAGTGATTCTGAAAGCAAAAGGGGGTCCAACAAGCAAGCAAGGGGTGCCTAATGAAGTGGCTAGTGTATTTACTTACGAACTCATCAGATTCCCAAACGTCTACTTCTTGTACAAATACTGTAGTGAAATAAATTGTAAAAAGAGGACAGTGAAGCCTTACGAAAGATGGTAGCACAATGTTACAGACACGGTTAAACTGACCTTTATCTTGTTTCGGATACTTCAGCGGTTTTGATCTGGACAAAAAAATAAAACAGACAGGTTTTTTTTTATGTTCGGTGAGCAACTGTTTTAGAGTCAGCTGAAGATATAAATAGTGTATGTAGTTTACGCTCTTACTTGTGACTAGTAGCCTTCTTGCGCTCTTCTTTGTTGATTTCAGTTTGTATCTTAGTAATTACTCTATAAAGGTGCAGCACAGAGACAAGTAAAATATTATCAAAGATGGTAAGTATCATTATATTATTTATTAATTTAGGGTCCAAAATACTTAATACAAAAAAACATGCAACCAATCAATATAATGAACCTTTTCATGTTTTCAGAGATATTAATTGTTGGGTAATTTGTCAGTGTAAGAAATACACTTTCAGTTAGACTCACGGGACAAAGAGGCAGGGGAACACTTGCAGATCACACTCTGTCATATTCTACATGACATGGATTTGGAGATCATGAAAGTCAGATTTATTGTGATTTCAGAATAATAAAAAAAGAAATGTTACACACACACACACACACACACACACACACACACACGCTTACCATAAACTGTGCTCCATCTATGCTGCTCTTTGTCACTACTCTGTCACAGCCTGGCAGTTTAAGCTGAGAGGAGAGTGAAGCTTTGAGCACATTTAAACCATGCAAGTTTTCTTGTATGTTTGGTGTTTCCTTAAATTAGCGTGAAATGCTACTTTTTAGATAAGGTGTTACCAACTAAAACAAGGCATGAATGAAAAAGCAGGAAATATATCTTTTTCTTGGTTAAAAAGTGAGCTTTTGTTTTTGCAAATTATGCAGTCGCGCTTATCAGATGTTCATAAATAATGTTAATCAAGAGACTACAGTACTTGGAAGGTATAAACATCTCTACTTTCACCTTCAAACTAGTTTTAATACTCACCTTCCGCATGTAGTCCGCTAGAGTTTGGGCATTCCATCCCATCACCTCTGCTTTTGAGGGAACGTTAGAAAAATTCATTCTTGTCTGTTGTGAATGATAACTTACACTTGATAACACAGTGACTTTACTTGCCAGCCATCATCTTACTCATCACTGTGAAATGATCGGTCTAAAATTACCCCTGCTTAAGCACACTTTAAGAATGCGTGTGTTTTTTTTTTATACTCTCTCACCTATTGTGTAAGAGAGTAAAAGGCTTCTGTGGTCAGAAAGCTATGAATAGAGCATGCATGCACTGCAAATGGTCGATCTGTAAACACAGAGGCTGTTGATTTCATTTCTAACACATGGTTAAGTCTGCTCAAAGTTGATTGTCAATTTTTAATGGACAGCAGACAGCAGACTATATATATATATAGTCTATATATATATATATATATATATATATATATATATATATATATATATATATATATATATATATATATATATATATATATATATATATGTATATACACACACACACACACACACACACTTTTATTACCATTCTACCTTTTAGTCTTATTGTTGGTTGTGTTCGGTCTTTTTTCCCACCTGCAGCTTGTGTGAGACCTCTTGGTATCTCACACCCTGGTGATAGAGGAGGGCAGCAATGAGAAGGGGTGATCAATCACGCTCTGACCCCCCTGAGCCACTCTGGGAGAATACACAAGTTCCCCTGGGGGGTCCTTGTGGCAGAACCCCCTACCTCTGTTTTCTTCTTTTATCCTGAATTGGAAACATACCCCTGTGACATGTAACTGCCACCAAATGTGGTATAAATAATAAAAAGTGATGGGTCAATGTAAGTTCTTCCTTAAAAAAAATATTCCTTTACTGAGTCTAAAATGTTTGAAATGCTAAAATCATAAAACTCCTGAAAGATAAATAAATGCAGTTTAGTGGGTGAAAAAAATGTCAAATGCAGGGTCTGCTCAGGGGCATCTCACTTGTAGAGTAAATCCAAGCACAGCTGAGCATCATATGGGAACAATATGGCACCAGTAATGTATTCACTGGAGAGTAGAGATAAAGCGTGAGGGCCTCCAGTGGGGCAAAACCTTCATTAACGCACAGCAGGACAGCATGGGAAATACGGGACATCCCTAGAGGGGAAACAGACAAATGGGAAGTGTGGGAGGGAGCGTTTCAGGTCGGTGAGAGTGTTATTTGTTTGCTTCTGCAGCCAGGAATTTAACTTGATGTTATGCTTCTTTGATCCTTGGTTGTGTTAGAACCCAATTTTGTCCCCAAACAGTACATACGCTAACAGTAGTCTGTTTATTTGTAGAGTTGTGTAACTATTTGCCACAGTGTTTGTGTTTAGATTTAATATGACATGCCTAATTTCACATTGCAAACATGGTTGAAAACTGAAAAAGTGGAATGCATTCGCTGTTTTGCCCCAGGTCTCGGGGCTTTATGATGTAGAGACACCAGATAGTCTGATAATTCATGTCAGAATTTCTCACTTATCTCTGTGTTTTTATTGGTGCAACAGTAACTGTTCTGTAAAGATAAGTGAAACAGACCTGTCACCAGACCCATAACTGTTAACATTCCCTCCCCCTACGCCTTCCCCTCCAGCCATGGGCCCCCTGAAGAAGGTAATATCCATGCCATCAGTCATTTAGTGGAATCAGTGGCAGATTTATGACACATCCAGCTGAGAGGCAAGGTTTTGGAGATACAGGGGGTACAGGAGAGAAAAACTGACATGCCAGCAGAGATAGATCTAATACTAATACCTAATTACTTGCAGATGATAAGATTAGAAATCATCTTGCTTTTCAGGGGAAAAAAGTGAGTCATGCTTTTATATAAGTGTCTGATTGCATATACAAGATTCATGTAACAGCGAATAAACACCAGGCTTTAGCTTTAATGTGTTGAGACACATTTGCATTCCATTTGGAATGTGACAAAGACTAGCGTGGGCAATGGTGTCGCCGATTACCAACCAAACACTGTAACTTGAATGGTGGAAGCGCTTCCCTAATTTGTCTTTCAAAGGCTCTTTGCTCTTTGAATAAAAATCAATCCACATTGACATCAAAGTGGTGGCGGATAAACGCTGGATCGACACCTCGGTGTAGCGTAAGCTGCACGATGTTATCCCTGTAATCCCCCTTTTAAAATGCATGCAGTTGATTCTTATTATGTGCGTGCGCGGTGTCAGAAACTGTGGTGGCCCTCTTCTAGAGAAAAACTGAAATTGTAGATACAAATATTTAGAAGGTTTTTTTTTTTACATTTTTATTTTAATTACAGCATTCTTAATAAATAGACACTAGGATATCATACACGAAAGAGGGGGGAAAGTGCAAACAGACAAATCCATAAACGCAGTCGTTTTCATTTGGGTCCACGATCTCTTCGTTTTCCATCCCCACCGTCCTTCCTGCCGCACACGTGTTTGACTGTAACGTGGGCGCAGTCCTCGCAGTGCACCTTACAGCACCAGTGGAATTTGCAGTTACAGCTACTCATCACCTCCGTGCGCTTTTCTTCCACTCCCAGGCCGCATTCGTGACACAGCCTGCGGCAGCTCCTTCTTTCCCCTTGCGTCAAGCCCTGTCCGTGCAGCAGACACTCCCTGCCCTCCGTGCCGTGCGCCCCCAAGCTGGCGTTCTTCCTGCAGTAGTCTGGAGAGTCCTGTAGGTAGATGAGCTCTGACTGTGCGATGCTGCCGAGCGCGTCCATGATGGCACCTTGGATATCCGCGCTGTTACCGGCGTTCATGCGCTTTTGGTCGATGTCCAGCTTTTCAGCGTGAATGTACTTGATCCTCAAGTAATTGCCCACGGCTCTGAAATCGGACAGCTGTGTCCAGCAGGTTTTGACACTGCAGCTCTCAGACATTCCGTGGCATCTGCAGATACGCGTCATTGTGTCTTTCACGGCCTGTTGGAAACAAGGTTCTGTTAACGGCTGCTGATGCCTTAGCGCTGAGTGATGAAGGGTTAGTAAAGAAGTGCGTGTCGTTTGAAAACAACTCACCAATCGGCCAGCCGCGTTGTTGTGGAGGTTGACAGCAGCCCTAGAGTCCTGACCCGTCTCTTCCGCATCCACGTACTCTTTGGAAATCCTCTCTCCAAACTCCACGTTAGCACTGCAGCCACCCCACAACCATCCGCGACCGCCTGCACGACACAGTTTTGAATACTTAAAGATCATTAATTAAGAACTTGCATGTTGACAAATGGCGCTGTAACTCGTACGTTGACTCACCAAGCTTCCCGTTCTTTGAACCATCGCAGCCACAGTTTTCGAGTTCGCCAAGACTGCAGTTCCTGGTCAGAGTGTACATGACCCCTGCTGAACTGATAGCATGAACGAAAGCCGTTTCTCTGGTGGCTGAATGAGAGGAAACATACAAGGTCTACTGCCACAGCCTCTTATAGGAGAATACATAACCAGCATTGACTAATAACGTGTAGAATGTTGCATTGTTTTTATTATAACTCTGTGATAATCAAGGCCACACTACAAAGGTACAAAGAAAAATAAAGTGGTATAAAGGTCAACATGTCCAAAGGTCACCAACTAAATCAGCATCAAAAACATGAAAAATAGATCCACATCCATGGGTGTGCGTGTGCATATTCAAGCACGGGTAAAAGAGTATTTTAAAGGCAGGTCTGGCCAGGGGCGTAGCAGAGATTGCAACAAGTCTAACAATAGTTCTGTAAAGATATTTTAATTGATTTAATTGCTTTAATTAACACATAAAAAGCATAGAAACACTGGAAATTACTTTTTGCCAGGAAAATCTGGGAAAACCAATCATTTGGTTGGAAATGCCGAATAAAACTTGAGGCTCAATAGAGAAACAATAACTACCTCGTTTCAGTCCTTTAAGCTGGGTTGCGCTGTCGGGGCAGTTCCATCTATCCCAGGCAAACTGGCGTTTGCACTCCTGGACGCCAGTCTGTGTGCCCACCTGCACGCTCTTTGCGTAGGTGAGATAGTCCTGCAGAAGAGGCAGTGACAGTCTGTCCTTTATTTTGTTTTTATTACATTTGAAATGTGGAAAAAAAATGTTGCCACAATAAAAGCAATCAAATATATATGTATATATACCTTTGACCCCGTCATCAGAAAATTGCTTGCGACCCTGAGAACAATAATAATAATGATAATAATAATAATAAAAGTCATATAATTCTGTCTTCTGTTCACTTATTTTAAAGCATGCATGCAACTAGTGTATACATGTCTTACCAAGCGTATCCAGGATTGATTCTACACGAAACAAACAGCAGCCAAAAAATTGATTGCGCCATCTTCACCTATCCCGTTGTCGTTATCCTGCTTATAGAGATGTAGGTATTTTGACCCCGTGTGCTGCAGCTTTGTCCTTTACTTGACTGAGGACCAAATAAGTCTTCTTCTTTGTCTTGAGACCCGAGAAAGCTGATTGGGTGACTGGTTCAGGAGACGCCTATTCGCACTTCAAAGGTTGGCATTAGGAAGTAATTTATTTACCTACCAAAGACTGTATGACACCAAGGCACCCGCATATAAGACTAAAAGACTCAGAATTTTACCACCGACAAACTGGGAGGCAGTTACGTGTATTGTATAAAAATATTTATTATTTTAAATAATTATTAGGTAGACTTTTAAATATTAAACCAATTTCAGTAGTCACACGTGATAAACAGCGAACAAACATCCTCGGAACTCCCAAGTTCCCAACACTGCTACTGTTGCTCCAATGCTTGGAGATTTTGGTCCACAAGACAAAATTTGACCTATACACACTCCATTCAAAACTAAAGGGGGGAAAGGTGCTTTAAAGGACTTTAGCTAAAAAATTTAAATAACATTCATGTGATGCAGAATAATTTCTCATGTAGTTCGTAAATATAAAACTGGTTAATATGATGAAAATCATATTTATCGAATAATGTGAAGAGTTCAAATTTTGCAAGAGATCCCAGTCATTGTTGATGCGCACTGTTCCTGCCTTTTTTGTTCTTTTTCCTCCCACTTTTGTGCGCGCAAAAGTATTTGGCTACAACTCGCTTGCATTTTTCACACTTAACTGTGCAACACCAGTGAAATTTGCAGTTGCAGCTGGTGAAAACCTCTGTGCGCTTCTTCACCACTTTTAGGCCGCATTCATTGCACAATCTGCGGCAGCTATTTTTCTCCCACTCGGACATGTTCTTGTCCTCCTTAAAGCACTCCCGTCCCTCTGTACCGTGGAGTCCGAGGGTCTGGTTCTTGACGCAGTAATTTGGAGAACTCTCCAGGTAAATGAGTTCCCTTGTAGCGACGCTCAAAAAAGTGTGCGTGACTGCGTCTCGGTTGTCCGCGCTGTTCCCTGCTCTCGCCGCTTTCTTGTCCATTTCCAGTTCCTTTGCATGTTTGTACTTCATCTTCAAGTAGTTGCCCACTTCTCTGAAATCGGCCATCTGCATCCAGCAGGTTTGGATGGTGCAGCTTCCAGATACTCCGTGACATTTGCAGGCTTTCCTCATGGTTGCTTTGATTGCCTGTCGAGAGCACAAACGTTTTACCAAAAAATAAACAGAAAGCCAAACAAAAACAACGATCTCGTTTTTCATTTATTACGCTGTGTCAGAACACTATTGACATAAAAAAAAACCGTCAATAATATTAAGATCAAATCTTACCAGTCTGCCTGCCTTGTTGTTATGCAAGTTGACCGCTGCGCGCGAGTCATGCCCATCTTCCAGCGCGTCCACAAACTGTTTGGAGATCTTCTCCCCAAAAGCAACATTGTCACTGCATCCTCCCCAAATCCACCCTACACCGCCTGAGACAAAATAGCACATGACGTTATTTCGCTGTAGGAATACAAGCCAATTTAGAAATCGCTTACTGTAACCGCGGATAGAATGCTCATGGAATACATGTTTACCCGGCTGTCCAATTTTGGAGTCATCGCAGCCGCAGTTGTCAAAGTCCCCAGCCGTACAGTTCTTGGTGAGCGTGTACATCACTCCGGCAGCGCTGATGGCATGGACGAAAGAAGTTTCCCTTGTGGCTAAAATAAATAACAAACAAAGAAATCCGGATTTTTTTACTTGGATATCCAGTTTGGCACGAATAATGCGTAACTGATGAGTTCTAGTTTTGTGCGTGAAAAGCACTTTACGCACAGGCGCTTCAAGATTGCTCTCAAAAAAGCGCACGACCTCACTAATTTTAGTTGCCATAGATTTGATTCAAAAAGAGTTCTTACCACTCCGCATGCCGTTGTGTGGGGACAAAGAAAGCGTGTTCTCTGGACAGTTCCACTTCTCCAAAGCGAATTGGCGTTTACACTCTTGTATCCCACTCTGTGCGCCCACTCGCACGCTGCTGGCATAGGTCAGATAGGCCTTGGATGAGAAAGGAAAGGAAGTTATGAATATTAATGTTAGTGCTAATTACATAGAATTTGGCTGGAAGGAACAGCTTTTACGCAACACTCATTCTTAAAATCTTAAATGGTATTACCTTAGGTCCAGTCATCAAGAAATTATTCATGGTCCTGTAGAGGGGAAAAAAGATAGCTATGTTAAACCTGTAAGTTATTTTACCAATTGCAAACCCATAGAAACTATAGCATTTAAAACTTTCTTTACGAGAGAAAAAAAGGACATACCAAGCAGATGACAGCTGAAAAAGACAACACAGGAACAGAACCAAGACTGCAGAGAAATTCAGTGGTTGCATAGCGTGTGTATTCCAAGCAGAGGCTAGTGTGACGTATTCCAGATGTGAGCGCCAAGAAAAGAAGGAGGCGACTGAAGTTTGTCGCCCTACTCGGCGCTCATGATATTTATATGGTCGTGCCCCCTTTGACAGACAGATTTGTCCAGCAAGTAACATTTTACTGTGAAATGCGTCAACGACATTGGCTGGGGCTTCCCATGGACAAATAGGAATTGTCGGTGCATAAGTGCACTTCAAAGAAGCAACGCAGACGAATTCACCTGTTGTTCCCAGGCTCTGATGCTAATTATAAAAACAAAGTATATGCATGGATTTAAAGTATATGTATGTGTGTCAGTATATGTGAATCCATATGAGCACTACGTATAGAATAATTAAAACCATCTTCTAATAATCCCCCGGATTTGGAGACATTTAAGAATAAAATTATTATTTTTGACTAATAGAAGATCATTATTCACACAAAAAGTAATCTCTGTATGGGTTCATTGTGGTGATTTTTGTTCATCTTTATGTGCACACAAATCGAAGATAGCTTAGCTAAAAGATAATATAAATAAAATCACTTGAAACATTCGGGAGATGGCACCAGTATCCCATGGGGACACTGGGTACTACAAAGCCTTACAGCTTTTCAGGAGTGACAGTATATAGTCATGTAAATACCGCCTCACACATCGGCGAAATTGGCACCGTTGTGATAATAGGATAATAGATGTTTCCCTGGGAAACAACTTGGTGCGAAAACAGTCTGGGATTTACACGAGTAAAGACACATAAGACACGTAAGGGCTATGACAATTAAAATGTAGCATTGCAAGGTCATTTTATTTCATAATATGTTTAGTTTGACTTTTGATAAAATATTAAAAAACTGTAAGTTATATGCAGGTTTAAGCATTGGATGATCCTTTCAGGCTGATCACGTTTAATCCCGCTGATTCGCTTTCTGGCTTTAGCCCACATAATCATGTCCCTCATCAAGGAATCATCACCACCAGTTTCTGTCTTTTCATACTTTTACTTGCGACTTGGACAGCGGACTTGTCAGATCCCCTTTAAGCCACTCAAAATCCCTTAAAACAATAATTCACTCAGCCTGCACAAAAAGCGGAGAGGTGTAGATAATCCCCACTAATTAGATATCAGCTAAGGTCGTGACTGAAACCTACAGCTCCCCTCCCCACCCCACCCCCGGTCTGACTTACTCTCAAAAAGTTGAGAATAGTAGAGAACAGCTTAAGCCAATAGAGAACCTTTAACGATATTAATGGATTTACTGATAGAAACAATCAATCTGGGCGTGTCTACATGACGACATAAGTATCGAAACTCTCAGGACTACAGATCAGGACAAAACACCGGACTTATTGGGTGACATTTTAAACGAATGTTGCAAGGAGCACATAGAAAATTTTTTTTTTTTTTTTTACCCACCACCTTACACACTTTGGGAGTGAGAACGTGTTGCACACACGTACCCTTTTAAGTAATTGACAGTGGTGAAGTGAATATGCATTAGTAAAACTGAGCTAAAATAAATTTCGGACACAGGAGACCAGTGAGAGTTGGTGAATGGCTTGCAGTGTGAAGTACGAGAAGTGGGTCTATCAGAACTCGGGAGGTGAGAAGTTTGACAGGCGGAGGCAGGGTGACAGGAGCAACACCCGCAGGCGGAGATTTGGGGTTATAAATCACTGATATTGAGTTTAGGGTGGGTTTACTGGTCATTTTTGGTGTCACCGTAATGTTTACTGAATAATTCTGAACATCAATTTAGAAGTCAAAACATAGCTGTAACCAGTGCCTTTTACAGGAATATGGGGAATGAAATTATTTTTCACACCATACTCAGGTTCACGTTTTTTTTCTTCCAACGCAGGTGATGCAATCAAATTTAACAATACAAATCATTATGTGCTATTGTAACGGTCCCCACCCCCATAGAGCTATTTCTGTCAACTGCTCCATTTAACTTTAATATTTAAAATGACACAATCATTTCAACAGGACAAAATGCTGTCAGTTAAAACAATACACTACGACTGTGGATACATTAACCGTCAGCTTTGTTGACTGACTTCTTCTCCAATTTTAGTTGATTCACCGAGCTCAGCAGCAGACGTCAGGCGTTTAAGAGTCTATAAATATGTGAAAAGGCTGGTGTCTTTTATAGAATCATGGTTTGGAAGTCCTAACTTGTGGATGGTGGTCAGGTTAGGGATGATCTTTGGACACAGGAGTATGGCTGTACCGCTATATTAATGCGTCACACTCCTGCGTGTATCATTAAGTGCAAGGGCAACAAAACTTCATAGCAGGGTTTTCTAAGTGAGGCATGTCCCATACAGCAGTCCAAGAGCATAACTGCAATTCAACAAAGTTGAAATGGAAGCTGCAGATCTCACCATAGCAGGGAATTCTGACGTTGATTATCAGACCCGTGTTTAACATTGCTTAGAAATGTTTGTAGGTTTTTTTTCTGTCTCCTGTAAAAATCTTACACTCTCAATTCTCTTCATTTTGCATTTATTTAGTTAGTGGTAGTTTCTGTACACTGTCACAAATCTAAGCGTGAACATCAGCTTTCTGATTTTTTAGACCATGTGGACATACATTTTTATCTTCACGTGGTCAAAAAAATTATTTTTTAGTTTGTTAGTGACTATTTCTTCAAATGTAGTGCAGTTTGTATTTTTTTATTTCACATTTTTGATACTTCTCTACCAAACTAACAATTAATTATATTCTATTCTAGAGCCAAGATTGACAGATTGTATTGGTTTAGTAACACCATAAAACCTAACGCTGTTCTATTTATTACATGAGCCTGCACCCCTGAATAGTTAGCGCTTGTTTTCTTAAAAAAAGGCTAAATGAATTATTGTTATGATTATTATAATTGTTTGTTATTGAAGACAGATTATTTTGTCTATCAGTCAAGTAATAGCAAATAAGACAGGGTAGCCTGAAATGTTAGCCACTGTGATAAATAAATTGGAATAATTTCCAATTCGGAATTATTCTGAACAGTTACTCAATTACTATATTTCTATTTTCAATATTGCTTTGTGTTTGTGTGTGATTAATTTATTATTTAATTTAGTAGTTCATGTTTAACATTACAAGAGTCAGCATAAGGGCATAAAAAGACAACACAGCTGCTTGAGGCCTCCACACCACCAGGGGGAGTCTCAAGCTCATTAAATGTCACACAAAACTAGCGGGTAAATGTATGTGTGTATATATATATATTTTTTTTTTTTCATCCGTGGAATATAAATTTTGAACATATAAAACAAAAACAAAAATGAACCTTTAAGTAAGGTGAGCTTGGTTTATATTGTATGTGAATCAAAGGCATTATGGTTGGCAGCCTACCTTTAGCTTACTAGTCAGTTATAACAGCCCAGAGAACATGTGTGGTCTTTGTGTTTGGATTATGTTCCTAAATAACGATCATTTTAACATAATGAAAAAATTCTATTAGCTAGTTCTTCGGTGTAAGATAATTGTTATTGCTCAGTAACTAACAGGTGAAAATGTATGTCCTTAATATTTGACTACCATTGTCCCATTATGAAACAGGCCTTTTGTTCTATAGACCAGCCTTATTTTGGAGTCTTTGCTGTTATAATCCAGCATTGTTACACCTCAGTTAGCTCCGTGTTTTAATTTTTAAGACCTGCTTCTACTGCTTGATTAAAATATTTCCTCAGAAGCTTTGCTGAAACATTTCGGAACATAGAAAACAACATCTGCCTATGGTGCTTTCCAGTGCACTATAAGCCACGATAAGGGTTGTGTTAGGCGTACAAAGCACAAAAAATCAAGCATGGACCACATATTGTTAACGCTGGCGCTTCTGAGGTGGGGGATGGCTTCAGAATCAAATTGTGCTTAAGGCCCCATAAAACCTTGGGCTGATTAGCCACTAGCACTATATTTTCTGATCCCAAACCTTATGCTGGTTTATTGTAATCACATTAACATTAGCACTCTAACATACATTAGTAGGTAAAACATACACCAGCATTATATTACATTTTTTTCTATATTTTAATGTGTGAGTCATTTGCTTTATTTCTTTGCCTCATAAATACAGTGTGTGTCTGTGTTTGTGATTGTCTTGATTTGCACATCTGTAAAAACGAGACATCAAGATGCACAGGACTGACTGGTTCCATGTCTTCATTTTTATTTCATAAATAAAAGTAAAAAGTTGATTAAGAAAACATCCCACATGATTTAACTTCAATTACTCCCATGTCCATAACCAGCTCCCCACCAGCCCTATAGCCTGGATGCCTGCCTGTCTCTCTGTGCTACATCACTACACCACTTCCCAGTTTGGCAACATTGGAGACATGTTAGCTATACGCTAACAGCACAAGACAGGCACCCAGGCTGGAGTTTTAATATTGGTTACAGAGGCTCCCTTGTGAGGATGCCATATACCCTTAACAGCACCCTGGGGAGCTTAAGAGCACCCATTTCTGAAGACAATGAAAGAGATTCAAATACTGTAATAATCAAAAGAAAGTGCTTTTTGTTGCCGCATCTCAGCTTCTTTTCTTCGTGTGCTTGAGTCAAGGTGTGGCATCGCCTTTCCTCTCTTGCTCAATGGCTAGAAAAGAAGAGAGAAACACAACCGTTGGTAGGCTCTTGTTCAGTAAACGTGTGTGAGGATGTTGCTTTTTGATTTTGCTGTGTATAAAATGTGTGATGACATTGCAGCTGTTTGCTTCAGAGCTCCCGCCGGCTGACAATGCGGTCTCTCGATAGCACAGGAAGTGATGATGAGGAGCTACTGACAGTAACAAATGATTGCAGACGACGAAGCCTTTGTGGCTTCAACAGTGATCA